TTCTACGAAGAGCGTCAGAAGGCAATGCAGAACAGAAAAGCCAGACGACGAGCTGTTCTAGAAGCTTCCAATGTTCCTGAAACCGCTGCTCCGACCGTTCCCTGTGACTTGATCAAGAACATGTCCAACAGCTTTGCCGAGGCTTTGGTCTTGAATCGGAACTCTTAAAAGTAATTTCTCTTTGAACATTTGTGTATAAGACTCTCTCTCTCTCTCTCTCTCTCTCTCTCTCTCTGCGCTTTAACTTCTTCATGTGGATTTTAAGAACAGACTTTCCTTTTGCTGTGTTCTTTCTTTCTCTTGCTTGTTATAAAAGTTAGGGTTTTTCACGATTTGTTGTCTATTACTTGAAACAGAAGCAACATTGTTTGTGTTCTTTGCGTTAAAATCCATTACAGAACACATCAAGCAATAACTTTGAGTGTTTATGGCAAAGAAAAAACAGCAATCACGTGACTGGGAAGAAAAAAACAACAGTGATAGATTACGCCTTACTGCCACGTGGATCGAGAAATTGACACGTGTCACGCTCTCAGGCTACGCAAGGGCGGATAAGAAGGAGACGGCGGCGAAAGCCACGGCGGCGACTGTGAGTCTGTCCGTCGCGGCGGCGGAGCCTCCCTTGTCCTGTGATGTCGCCGGTGACGACGTCGACGACGGAGATTTTCCGGCGGGTGTTGGTGATGATGTGGCATTTCCCGAGAATATGGACGCCTCTGGTGAGTTCGGTGCCATCCCTAGAAGACCTGTTCATTTTCCCAAACGTTTTTAACACATTTTTCTTTATTTTTTATTACAAATTATAGATACAACTAAAAACTACGAAATTTATTGTATAATTTTTTATTTTGTTACAATTATTTTGTTGGCGATTATAAATGATAATTCAGTAGCTAGAGAATTTATTAGTTATAAAATTACGATATTGATTATAAATGCATAGTCTATAACAATTTTGGATGAAGTACTAAATTAAATTTTTTTATTAGTAAATTTTATTTTCAGATTTTTAGTTTAATTCATAAAAAATTCATAAGCTTTACTTGTTAAATATAAAGCATATTTGGTATAAGCTGCAAATCATTTTCATCCACCTATTTAATATTTATTAATTTTTAATAACCATAAAAACAATTGTTTAATTATATGAACCACCAAAAAAAAAAAATACGAGTCGGTCTCTGTATCACATGGGTCTGCAGCCTGGCGCATTAATGTATGGAAACTTGGTTTCTGGTTATGTAATAAATGTTTATAGGAATAAGTTGTTATGAACAGTAATAAGATACATTTGTAAATAATATTGAAAAAAAATAAATTAGTTTATTAAGAAAACGTGGTTTTTATTAAATTTGTCTGATACACATATATCACCATTGACCTAGAAAGTTGAGATGATTCAATATTATATTTTCCTTTCTAAAATAGTTAAAAGATTTTGATTATAAGTAAAAGTTAAATCAATTAGAGTAATATATTTTAGATTTTAGTTATATTTTAATTTATTTATTTTTAGATTTGGGTTGATTTTGATTTGGTGTAAGTTTTATTCCAATTTATTTTTTTATTAAAAAATTATATGTTTCAGTACTTCAATTATTTTTATATTATCATATTTTTTAGATCTTATATGCTTTTTTTAAAAATTCAATTTTGCAAATTTAAAACGAAATATTTATCCAACACAAGAAAAAAAAATCTCATGACCAAATTATGTTGAATCGGTGTTCTAAATATATGTATGCATTATAAAAAACAATTATATAGGTTATATAATAAGAAAAATCAAGATTGACACAAGTCTCGATGCAGCATCAAAACATTTATCATATATAATCAATAAAAATTAAAATAAACATTAATTTTCTATAAGATATAAGATATAAATGAAAATATAAAAAATATATAATTTAAAAAAAAAAACGCCTCAACTCGTCTCGTGAGTTCACTCGTAGTTCATCAGGTTTGCGAACCGTGACGAAATGACTCGGTGGACTCGTTTTCAAACGAATTCTTAAATAAAGTGGTTTGGTTGGCAAAAAAAACGAGTCGATAATGATTCCAACTCGCGAGTTGAGTTCGTTTTGACGCTTTAATCTTTAATCTGATATAGGTTAGGGTTCATCTACTGTACACACACGCGATATATATATATATATATATGTATGTATGTATGTATGTATGTATGTATATACGTACGAGGGCAATCGGAGATGCTGGCGTTGCGGAGCTGGCAAGAAGAAGGCAGCTGAAGGAGCTTGTCTTGCTGGATCCCGAGCTGCTTCAGAGAATCTCCTCCTGCCTTCACCTGCTGTATTATGACGCACAAACACTTGGGATCTTTCTCCTTGATCCCTTCCACCGAATCACAGCACTGTTTTGTCGGTTTCTCCACTTTCCCGCTCGCGAAATCCAGACACAACATCACCTTCTGAAGATCCTCCTTGCACTCCTCCGCCGCCTCTCCCCCGGCCGCCGGAGCCGCCGCGTGCGACGGCGGAGACACGGCGAGGAGGGTTAGCGAGATGAGTAACAAGGATATGACACGATGACCCTTCATTCTGTTTCTCTTTTTTCTCTCCTCTCTCGATTTCTCTCTCTCTCTCTCTCTCTATCTCTCTCTTTATGGTTTGGAGATGTAGGGTTTTAGGTGGTGTATTAAAGGCAAATGACTTCAGAGAGAGAGAGAGGGAGAGAGAGATGGAGAGAGAGAGAGAGAGAGAGAGAGAGAGAGAGAGAGAGAGAGAGAGAGAGAGGGAGAGAGAGAGGGAGAGAGAGAGAGAGAGAGAGAGAGAGAGAGAGAGAATTGAATGTTAGTACGGTTGGGTGGTGAGATGAGGATTGAGGCTTGAGCTCTGTGTTTACGCATATGCACATGCAACGGTTTCAATTTTTTTTTTTTTGCTTGTTGTGAGTGATGTCAATGCATTTTCTTATCGAGAAAACCCCATAAAATATCTGAATTTTATAAAATATATTTAAAAAAATATAAGTTTTAATTTGATAAATAAATACACCAAATATTGAGATGTACCAAAAATTATAGCAATTCTTAATTAAATCGAAATTAATTTCCTATACATCTACATTTCTCGATGTTAAGATCCGAATATAAAATTATTTTTAAATAAAACGGTTAAAATTTATGTATGAAACAATTTCAAACCATTTGAATAGAATCAAATAGAAACTAACTTAAAATTATAATAACTCAAGAGTTGGTGGTCCAATGGTTTGGAGGTGACAAAGTCATCATAAAGGTCTTAGATTCGATTCCATTGATTGGGAGAGATGTAATTTCTGGACCGAAATGGTCTATATACGAAGATTGATCCCGGACCTAAAATAGATATAGTCGAGGCAAAGGTACGAAGAACCATATAGGTTATAAAAAAAACTTAAAATTATAATAATCCATCATTTAAAATACAATAAAATATAATATTAAATTCTATCTATAACGTCTTAGTAAAGCCAAAGATCCGTTGACTCGACCCGATCCATAACACCACAAACAATTCATCTATATACAACAAATTTATGTATTAATATATATATATATATATATATATATATATATAAAAAGAAAATATTGAAATTTGTTGTATAAAAAGATCGACATACTAAACAGAATCACGTGTTTCTGAAGATCCCATGTTTCTGGAGCCATGTAACTTCAGTTATTGATTTGTTTGATTTTGTGTGTTCATGCAACGCATTTGAGGGAACATGATGATTCTTCAGTAAATGTCCCATTACTAAACGCTTGGTCGATTAGGGATATTGATTTATATTTATATTTTTATTTTTGTTTTAGTTAATGTATATTATATACATACATACATACATATATATACAGTATATATGTTTGTTATGCCCGTTTATGATAAATGAAAATCCAGTATAAGTTCCTCAATTTTTTTGAAATATACCAAATAAATATTTACAATTTTAATTTACCTAATTGATATATTAAAATATTTTAAATTGATATCGCAATTTATGAAATCAATGTTTCGATCTTAAGTCATAAAATCGAAGAAATTACTAAATTTTTCCGATAAATTGTTGTGAATATTATGACAACGCGACTCATTCTTAAAAACCGTTCATTCTTCTACATCACTTGGAGAATTTGTTTGTATAAATTATTCATACATCATATGAAAAAATTGGGAACTAACATCAATTCGAAAAATTCAAATATTTGGAATATCAATTTGAAATATTTTAAAATTTGTTATATCAATTATATTAAATAGAAATTTTGTATATCTATTTGGTACGTTTTAAAAAAGTTGAGGTATTTTATATTTGGTATTTTATTGTATATGAGTTTGATTTTGATGTGTATATATCGTCTGATATGAACTTAATCTTTATGTAACAACATTCGTTTTAATCATCAAATATTTGATCAAAAGAATTTTAGACCGATGTAATCACAAACTCATTAGAAGTTGAGTTCAACACCCAGAGTAGGGAGATTTCCCCACCTGCCACCTTCGGGTGTCAAAGATAACGCGTTAAGTAATCTGATTCTTGGAAAAGTCTAATAAAATTAGGGGTGTACAATCCGTTCGAGAATTTAGTTCCGATCCGATCTGAAACCGAATCAGATTGAATCGAATAACGTTCAGTTCTAATTTTATATACTTTTTATGGAACTAAATGAACTGTTTTTGAACCAAACCGTATCAATACCGAACCGAACCATATAAATACCCAACCAAAATTCGAATATTCATATATATGTGTAAATGTTATAGTTTGGTACTTATTTGGTATTTATATAATGGTATCGTTTCGAATCGAACCAATACTAAAACCGAATCAAACCGAACTGTTTAACATTCAGTTCTAGTTTTGTATACTTTTTATAAAACCGAAAATATTATTTTCGAACCGAAACCCAAAACGTTCATCCCTAAATAAAATTCCTAAATTTGAAAGAACATGTTTTTCTAAAATTATTATAATATTAATATATATATATATATATATATATATATATAGTTACATTTCCTAAAAATCACAATGAGAGAACGAACATCTCGACGTATTTATATTTCATGCAGTGATTATATTTTCCCCATTCAAAAAATGCATTTCAATTATACAAATTTATATTTTTTGAGCTAAAATGGTTAGTGACACCAGCCATTCTTATAAGAAAATTTAAATAGAACATATCAACAAAATAAATAAATAAATAAATAAATAGATAGATCGTTGAAAAAGATCGGCAAAAATCTAAAATCCGAAAACGAAATGTAAGGCATTCATTTGGGCCAGCATTCAATTAGTTGGATAGGAGAGATTGAGGATTATTCTTTCTCATAGATAGAATGACGTTATATTTTTTTATTATTTATTCTAAAATTCATTTTTTAATTCATAGAAATTATGAAAAATAAATTTTAAATTTAAATATCATGACAATTCTAATAATTAAAATATAAATTCAAGTGTGCCACTTCTTGACACATGGTATGGTATCAACTCTCAATGATATCATTTTTATGGGTCCTATCAGATAAATTCAAAACGTTTTTTAAACGAATTGAAAAATAATTAATTCTAATACGATTAATTTAGTTAACGTATCAAATGAAACAATTTATAGTTTTTTAAAAAATACGATACAAAAAATATTTCTATTCTAAAATTATATATCGATGGGATAATCGCATTTAAATACCCGAACTTTTACAAAAATCTCATATAAATACCCAAACTATAAAATTGTCATATAAATACATGAATTTTTCATAACTCCCACATAAATACCCAGACTTTTTAATTTTTTCCAAATCAACCACTCATCCGTTAACGGCGTTAAACGTTACTGTTCACTCGACAAAAAACTGCTGACTCAGCAATGACTTAGCAAAAAAAACCCGCTGACTCAGCAAAAAGTGTTGACTCAGCAAAAAAATATTATTAAATATTCAAATTTTTATTTACATATATTTAAATTAATATATACATATAAATTCACACATATATATATACAAATATATATTAAAAAAAATTATTTATAATTAATAAAATACATATACACATAACTACAATATATAAATGTATATATATCATTACTAATGCATATATATTAAAAGAAAAATAATTATAATTAAATTTATGTATATACATAATATATGTATTAAAAAATAATTATAACTAACATATATACATATAATATATATTAAAAATAATATTTATATGTATACATATTAATTATATATACAAAATATACATATACAAGTCTGTTTGTAGTTCATTTTTTTTTTCAAATGTTAGGGATATGCTCACTCGTGCAAGAAATTACGACTCATTACACCCTTTCATGTTATCTTTCACGTGCTCGACTGGGTAAACATTTTTTTTTACCACGAAAAGGGTACAAAACCTGTATGTATATATATATATATATACACACATATGTGTGTGTGTGTGTAAGTAATAATAGGAGGTATAGTTTCCAAGAACTTTTACACATATAGGGTGTATATATATATCATTTTTTTTATGTCTTGAGAAAAGTAGATTAATTAATTTTATAAACTTTTAATGATTTTGCAATATTTTACACATTAAACTTTTACGCACTTTATTTATCGCGGAGCTTATGTGGCAAAATAGCCATATGAGCATATATATACCCACATTTCACATTCCCACATCTGAAACATACCACATCCCCAAATTCAATCTCTCATTTATATCACAAAATTATTTTATATATAGATTTGAGAAATCTTTAGTCTAATCTTCAATAAATCGCGATAACAAGAGACTATTATACATCATATTCGTCATATCATTACATATTTAAATAATTTTCAAATCAGTACTTCAATATATATATATATATATATCCAGGGTCATCTCAACTTTTTTGGAGGCCCTGTACATTATACAAAATTATATCGATAAAAACTATAAATTTATATAATAAAAATAATATTATTAAAAATATTTAATAAAAATAGATAAATTAATATAATAAAAAATTATTAATAAAATTAATAATGATTTTAAAAATCATTAAGTTTTATAATAAAAATTATTTAAATATAATCAACAAATTTTGTAACGTTTTTCTTTATTAATGATAAGAATAATATTTTTTTTTTTAAAATCCATAAATATAGGTTTTTTAAAATAAATACAATTCATTTTCAATTTTTAAATAATTTTTTAATTATTATTGATATATTTCAACAATTATAAAATCAATTTAATATTAAATTTGAATTAATAAAAATTTTACATTATAAGTAATTTATATAATATCATATTTATTTGTACAATAATATAATGTATAATAATTATATCAAAAAATTGATTGGAGTAATGATTTTTAAAATGGAATCCATTTGATTTTCCCCGATCTTCTATAAGCATTTTCGGAGAGTAGCCTCCTTTCTTTCTTCGATCAATCAATGTTATATTCTTCAAATTTATATTTATTATTACAATAATATATAATTAATATTAATAAATAGCTTTAAAAATGGAGCCTCCAAATTTATAGGGTCCTGTTCCGGCGCACCTTTTGCACTTGCTAATAGACGGCCCTGCTGGTATTAGATATGCACAAAATTTTCTCCTCGACATGGTTATGTGACTTAAAAATTAAAATGATATAAATTATAATTTTTATGCCAATGAATTAATTTAAAGGAGATAATTTACGATTTCAGTTTTATATATCCAAATATATTTTTGTTAGAAATCAACTTAGAAATATATAGCTGGTTTATACGGAAAAAAAATAATTTCAATTTTCAATATTCAGAGTAGATGGGGCACGTAAGCCAAATAGAAATTATAAATAATCTAATGTCGGAGAAAATAATTATAATAATCACGAAAAGGGCCCCACGTGACGATTATTCAAAATTCGAATAGGCGAGGGTAATGTGTCAAGATCTAATAAGAAAGCGACAACCAAACTGACACGTGTCAATATTAAGATATTTTTTTTAAAAAAATAACCGATAATTTCGCTGTTTTGTCCGAATTACCCCCAAATCTAACTTTTCCTCCTCTCGTTCCCATTTCTCATCCCAAAGAAAAAGAACAAAAAAAAAAAATTCGCAAATTCGCAGATCAAGATGAGCAAAGTTTTCTCGCCGGAGAAGCGGTGGATCATCACCGCCGTCGCAGTCGCCGGCCTGATCGGAGGCGCGCTGCTGTTCACGAGCTTCATGCGCGCCGCGGATGACGCCTTCTTCCTCTGCTCCACCGCGAACGCGCGCGCACGCGCCACCGCAGCGGTGGCGGACTACTCGGCGACGCCGATCCAGCTCGAAGCCATCGTCCACTACGCGACCTCTCGCGTGGTCCCGCAGCAGAACATGGCCGAGATCTCGATCTCGTTCTCCGTCCTGAAACGCCACGCGCCCTGCAACTTCCTCGTCTTCGGCCTGGGACGCGATTCCCTGATGTGGGCGTCTCTGAATCCGCGGGGGAAAACTCTGTTTCTCGAGGAAGATCTCGAGTGGTTCCAGAAGGTGACCAAGGATTCGCCGATGCTGCGCGCTCATCATGTGCGTTACAGGACGCAGCTCCAGGAAGCAGACGCGCTTCTGAGCGCGTACCGGTCACAGCCCGAGTGCCTACCCTCGAACGCGTTTCTTCGCGGCAACGATCGGTGCAAGCTAGCGCTCACGGGCCTTCCGGAGGAGTTCTACGACACGGAGTGGGATCTGATCATGATCGATGCTCCCAAGGGGTATTTCCCGGAGGCTCCGGGGAGGATGGCGGCGATTTTCTCGGCGGCGGTGATGGCGAGGCATCGCCGGAGATCCGGCGTGACCCACGTCTTCCTCCACGACGTCGATCGGAGAATCGAGAAGGTCTTCGCCGAGGAGTTTCTCTGCCGGAAATACAGAGTCGGAGCCGCCGGGAGGTTGTGGCACTTCGCGATTCCTGCGGCGGCTAACTCCACCGACGGCGACAGGTTTTGCTAAAATGCGCCACGTTATTCCCCCACTTTTTTTTTGTTTTTAATTTATTTTCATTATTGCGGGATATTTTTTTTTCTGTTATATTTAGATACACTTATATTATATCACTCGATGGTCCGACCGAGTAGGATCTAAGAGTTGGATTTTGTCAAAAAAGTCGCTTAGATTTGATTGCTACTTGCATTTGGTGATGAACCATGAGGTTGAGATCGTAATATATTTGTACTTGTGCCAATCTATAATAGACATTAGATAGCTTATCTGTTTTGTTTAATTTCATGTATTTTTTTAAAAAATAATAATAATAACTAGTTTCATGTTTTAGGTCACCTATGGATTAAGTTTCAGAGATATTGATTTCGTAATTTTTGTTATTAAATATGGAAATATTGAATTAGAGAATGGATAAGTGATGTGTTAGCAAATGTTTATGTATCCAAAATCAATGAAACAACCAAAAGAGTCTATTATCTAATTCCAATTGAAATCTATTTCAAATATTGGAATTAAAATTTTGTCTATTATTTATAAATGTTCATAAATATATGTCAAAAAGTTATATATATATATATATATAAAATTGGATTATACTGAAAAAAAGTTCCTTGTTCTCATAAAATAAAATACCACCCAAATGTTTTTTTTGTAAGCCTGTATATTTGTGATATTTTTAAATATATGTATATGTGTATATATATACGGGTGTATACATTCATGCAAAGCATGTAGACGCTAAAGAAGAAAGTTCAAGGCAGACCTATATATATATATACACTGACATATCACACATATATATATATATATATATAGAAATTTTAATATATTTTATACTACCACAAAAAGATACCCACATGGCCACATGTTACGAACGAAACCCAATGGACAAGCAAACCCTAAGATTCAACGATCCAAAAACACACAGCCCAAATTTTATTTTTCCTCCTCACATGATAAACCCAAAACACTTGCACTTCCACGTGTGCAATCTCTCCACCACTTCATATTTGCTGCCAAAAAAAATCGAAAAAAAAAAACAAAACCATAATCATTTCAGCAAAAGATCTTCCCTTTCGTCCAGATTCTCTGCTTCCTTATCCAAATTGGGTTCTCTCTAGTCTCTCCGACAATGGGTCCGATGGTTCTGACACAACTGGCCACCGGTTTGAGCGTTTTGGCGGGAGCAGTTCTTGTGAAATCGGTCATGGACCAGAAGCCGATGATGGGTCAGTTCCCTCGGTGTCCAACCTGCCACGGGACGGGTCGTGTCGCCTGTATGTGCTCTCGATGGTCCGACGGAGACGTGGGCTGTCCCACGTGTGCCGGCTCGGGTCGCATGGCCTGCAGCAACTGCGGCGGTACCGGAACCGGCCGACCCATCCCAGTTCAGCTCACGGTTCGGCCACCTAACCGGTCCTCATAACCGGATTTTGTATAGGTCTTGTTACTTGTAATGAATGAATGAATGATGATGTTTATTACTTTATTTTACCCGGAAAAGAGAGAAAAAAAGGTAAAACTTCATGTGCTTGACCACAGAAATAGGGGAGATTTGGTTATGGGTCGTGTGATTACAATGTCTTTTATCTTCCGGAGATTCGTACACACACACACACACACATATACATATTCGTATATATATATATCTATGAACAGGTTCATTGATCTTATGACATGTATGTTTATGTAACAGTACGATTTCGGTGTGACAATTTGTATCAAATGTTGGTTTGATGGAGGAGTTGAAACACCATTCACCTCCAATTTGCCCTACAGAAATAAAATGTCATCCCAACAAATATAGCTCAGAAAACAAAAGGGTACATGGATTTCAATGTCAAGAATCGAGTTACATAAACATTGTATATATCCATCTTCATCTTGATGCAGGCAAGACCTGGAGATAGCCTGGTGGTCGGCTTTTCTTTTCCTTTTTCCGGTAAGCCTCCATGAATTCTTGCTCTATATCCGACAACAAAACATAGACTATCACTTTAATCCCAAATTTATTTGAAATCGACCACATGAATACATGAATTCACCTTCAAATTCAAATTCAAATTATTGCTAACGACTCGTTCCCAAATGAATTTAGGTTTACCCTAAACTTTCTCAAAACTATATCTCCTCCCAACTTCATCCCATATCACCTCTCTCTCATCATCATTACCAACCACGTCAAATTACAGCCAACAGTGGTACTTTATGAAGCTTTCTCATAAGAAAGAAACAAGTTAAAAGGGGAACCAAACATGCCTGTGATTCTCTCTCAGCAAATATCAGCAGGACAGGAAGTGTCTAAACAAGGAGGAATTTCTCTCTCTCGCCTGTTTCAGTCTCTATCTCTCTCTTTGGCTGAGGAAGAATACCGATAGAGACTAATTCACAGTCCAAATCTCTTAGGCCGGACATAGGTACCGCCTTTCTTCAACCCCGGACCTGAGATCTGTTGCTGCTGCTTTGCCCGTTTCTCCTTCTCTCTCTCTTTGCTTCTACGCTCCGACTCGGCTTGTTCCCTCCTCAGATTCTCCATTTCTTCCTCCATGGCCGTTTTCTCCTCTTTCTGCTTCTTCTTATGCTCCAACAAAGACGTGTCCGAATCCTTCACGGAAAAGAACATAGGCCCCATCTCAGCGAGCCATTGCGCCTCTACTGCAGTGACGCACTGCATGTATTCCTTTGTTGTCAACAGTAACTCGTGATAGACCAGGTAGTCTGGAAGTACACCCGAATTATACAGGGCGCTGCTTGGATGTAAATGGCAGGGCATTCTTTTTTTGCTGAGTCAGCACTTTTTTGCTGAGTCATTGCTGAGTCAGCAGTTTTTTGTCGAATGAACAGTAACGTTTAACGACGTTAACGGATGAGTGGTTGATTTGGAAAAAAATTTAAAAGTCTGGGTATTTATGTGGGAGTTATGAAA